ATTTTTAAAATTTTAATTAATAATTAATAAATTTTATCATATTTTATCTATAATATTTTTAAAAAATAAATAATTAAATACTAAAATAATTTTCAATTAAAATTATAATACAACATAATACAATACATCACAATCATATCTACAATTATAGCATTGTGCAAGAATCCCAAACCCGGTCTTTTACGAAGACATCACATCTGCACCATGAACCCAACCCTTATTTTTCACGACAATAAATATTGCTTTTAATTTGTGTACTATATTTCCCTAACTTTATCTTAAAATAGAAAAAAAGATTTATTTTTCATTTCAAAATAATTATTTTTTTTAAATTAAAGATTTGACAATAATTTATTATTTAATTATATTATATACTTTTTACAAAAATAAAAAGAAATAATTTGTAATAAGATAAATAATTAAAATAAATAAATAATATGATAAATTTGAAATAAAAAATATATTTAAAAAATAAAATAACATAATTTATTTAAAATAAATTTAAAATTAAAAAATAATTATCATTTTGAGATGAATGGAGTAATTAATAACACTAATCAAAGAAGCAAGTCATGATTTATCAATAACATTAAACAATTTTCATAAAAAAAAATTATTGAACAATTAATTGCATTTCTTTTATCAAACTTGTATAAGACTTTTCCTTACATGTTTCTATAACACCAAGTTTATTGGCCAAAAAAATAAATAAAAAAAAACCTGTATAAAATAATATAGTAGTAAATATTTCCATATATAAAATACAATCAGATGGCCTGATTACAAATGATTACGTAATAATTTTTGTCTAATTAAACTTCGTTTAGAATAAGACAAGTGGAACCCACCTACAGCCAAGTTACCATTCCTGTCATTTTCTCCGTCCACTAAAACAATGCCACGTGCACGTTCAAACTCGAAGAACCTTGACCGGGTACTTGTCAATTTCATCCACCCATGGATTCCCCCTTGACTTACTCACCGGAGTCGCTCTCAGCGCTCTCCAAACAGCGCTGTTACATTTGAAACCCGACCCGAAAGCAATCTGCCAAACCCGGTCTCCGCCGGAGATCCTACCCTTCGCCTCCGTGTATGCCAACTCGTACCAAAGTGAGCTGCTCGACGTGTTTCCGAATCTGTACAGTGTCATCTTCGACGGCTCCATGTGCCACTCAGTGAGTTGTAGATTTTTCTGGACCTCGTCCAACACCGCTCTTCCCCCAGCATGAATGCAGAAATGCTCGAAAGCAAGCCTGAAATCAGGAATATAAGGCTTTACCTTGGCTTTGAATATCTTTTTCCGAACGAGCGTAAGAAAGAACATGAACTGCTCAGCTAATGGCAGAACAAGAGGTCCCAGAGTGGTGATGTTGGTCTTTAAGGCATCTCCGGCAACAGCCATTAGCTCACGTGAGAGTGAAACTCCGATAGTTCCCTTGTCATCCTCTCTTTGGAACACGCAATTGTAGTTTTTATCGTCTGCACCTTTATGGGTTCGGATCAGGTGAACAAGCTCGTACTTGGACCTAGACCTGTCGCGTGCCTTGTTGGATAAAAGAACGGCAGCGCCACCCATGCGGAATATGCAGTTGCATAGCAACATGGACCGGTCATTGCCAAAATACCAGTTGAGGGTGATGTTTTCTGTGCTCACCACGACGGCGTACGTGTTGGGATTTGCTTGGAGGAGGTTTCGCGCAAGCTCGATGGAAATAAGGCCTGCGCTACAACCCATTCCTCCGAGATTGTAGCTCTTGATGTCGGTTTGGAGCTTGTAGTGGTTCACGATCATGGAGGACAGAGACGGGGTCGGATTAAATAAGCTGCAGTTGACGATGAGGATTCCGATGTCCTTCGGGTTGACACCGGTTCTCTCAAAAAGCGAGTCTAGTGCGCCAAACATAACAGCTTCCGCCTCCGCCCGAGCCTCTTCCATGCATAAATTTGGTGGTCGGGCCGTTATGCCACTCGACAAGTATGTTTCATCTCCTAGACCGCACCGGGCCGCTATCCTCCTTTGAAATTGAACGGATTCCTCTCCAAAAGCCCCGCTATCTTCGGTCATCTTCAGGAATGAATCGATTGACATTTTACGTTCATCTTCCGGTTTGTAACATGCGAAGTCGACCAGGTAAACCGGTCTGGACCGCTTGGCTAAATACAGGGCGAAGAGGAAGCATAATGTCACAGCACCAACCATTCTTGTCACCGCATCAATGCTTTCAAGTTGAAGTTTTCGGTTCGTCCATAACTCAGAAACCCGATCCAGCTTTAGACCAGTGATCTGAACTACTGTGAAAACAAACACTGGGAGAATGAGAGCAAGTATGAGCAGAGTGGCAGGATTGCAGGAATACCCATATCCCAACTTGACGTACTTGAGCTTGACGGACTGTAGGAAATCGGGCAATTGTCGCCGGATTTTGATGACGGCAGAGGTAGAATCATTGAATGCCATCTCCGCCGTCAGTCTTTCTTTCTCCATCTCTATTTCCATATTTTGCGACCTTCTGTTTTTTTTTTCCTCTCTCCCGCTTTTCCTTTGGGTTTCTTAAGGAAATGAATTGTTTGTCGATTTATAAGCAAGAGTCTGGCAGAAGCTGAACTAAACCACCACCCTAAAAGATTAATAAATGATATTTAGAAAAATTATACGAATCAAAGCAAACCCAACACGCCTAAAAATATTTTGGCTGTGGATAAAAAAACAAAAAAAAAGGAAAAAGTTACTTTAAACCCTGAAGAATGGGAAAGTAGCCCACTAGAATTAATATACTAACTGCAAGAAAGAGGAAGGGAGATGGCCAAAGAGGCTTGAATTAATGGTGGGTAGTTCCGAGTAAGGATAGACAGCTCAACCACCGAAGGAATATAAGAATTATGGAGAAGGATGTCAAAGTTTGAAACAAAAATTATAAATATAAAATTATAAAAATAAACTTTTATAATTTTATCGTCTCCAAGTCAAAAAGTTCAAAATCTAAAATCTGAAGGGGCAATTGACCCATCTGCGCGTATCTCAATTGAGGTTTCTTTCAAGCAAGCTAAAGAGCCTTGGAGGTCCTTTTTCTTTTTCCATTTTTCTAAAATTGGTAAACAAAAAAAATGAAAACAAGTCCTTAGCATTCCAACGTATCCCTAGTCCCCCCACGTCAATATATAGTTGCACGCTCTGCAGTCCCCAAATATTAAAAGCGTTGGGAAACAATAATGCTGATAAAGTGATATTATAAGGATAATTTTTTTTTTTAATATAATTTTTACATGTTATTAAATAAATAAATATATTTAATATCACAAATTTTATATAAATTAAAAAAATTAATTATTTTAATAATACATCAGATTATATAAAAAAAAATAATAATAATTACCCTTAATAGCATTTCCTATACTAATAACGCGATTTGTGTAAATGTGTCCACGTGGCAGTTTGGGAATGGAGAAGTGTTGAAAAGTCAAAGATGGAGGGGGAAGAGAAAGGCAGCGAGGGAATTAAAGTTAGGAGAAGGCCGGTGGATTATAGGTGACTGGTAATGAAGGAAACAATAAATGAAAGGGTCAAACAAGGTTGCTGCTGACCTGTCCGAACACCTATATATTGCCTGGACCAGACACGAGACATCGGCACGACGATCATTGGTTTTGTCGTTTATTTTTGCCACCTGGTAAATGTAATAGGAAAATTATTTTGAAATAATTTTTTTATATTATTTTTTTATAATTTAATATGTTATTTAAATAATTAATTTTTTTAATTTATGCAAGATCTGTAATATTAAATATATATATTTATTTAATAATATGTAAAAATTATATCAAAAAATAATATAAAAAATTATTCTTTTAATATGACTTAATATAATATGGAGGAGTGCAATTAATGGTGGGGTTATGATCACCATTATTAATGATATAGTATTAAATTTTTATAAAATATTATCTTTATAAATATTAATTTAATTTTACTTAATGGGTAAAAATAATTATTAATTATTAATTAATAAAATAAAAAATATTTATTATTTAAAGAAAACAAAAAATCAAAACGTTTTAACATTAAAAATGTTAAGATGTTTGATCATAATCATTAAATATATAAAATATAGTGTGAATTTTAATTTTATTAAATTTATCATGTAATTATTATTAAATATCTTGATATTAAAAATATTAAGACATCATAATTTTTTTTCTTTTTCCATCATTTAAATTAAATAAATTAATATTTTTAGAATAATATTTTATAAAATTTAATGGCTATAATTAATAATGGTGGCCCGATAATTATTCTTGACTTAATGAGCAATTGCTTACACGTATATGCAAAATCATAATATATGATATTTATTAATTAAACTAAATAAAGTCAACATTTTTAAAAACAGCATTTTATTAAATTTGGTGATTATAATATTAAAAATGGTGTGGTTATATATCCTTTCCCAATAATTATTCTTGCCTTAATAACCAATTGCTTACACGTATATGCAAAATCAGAATATATGATATTTATCAATTAAATTAAATTAAATTAATATTTTAAAAATAACATTTTATTAAATTTGGTGATTATAATATGGCCAAAACCGCTATTTGCACCCTCCATTTATTTCTTTTTCATGGTCAATATCTTCCAGAATTTTTCCTCCCTATTCACACCTTACACTTTTCAAAATCTATGAAAAACCCAATATTTTAACGGACCATCATGGCACCATTAAAAAATGCACTACGTGGCACCCAGAAATTGACGTGGCACATGCGACATTTCCTTATTCGTTAGGTTCAGACGTGGATCTGCTTTTTTATATGTGGCTTCTTTTTTGCACACATGGAAGCCACTTGTGCAGTGGGGCCCACTGCACAAGATTTTTCCCGCTTGTTCCTGCATCCCCCACCAAAAAAGAAAAAAAAAATTTAGAACAGGAGAACCCAAAGCTCGGTTCCCTGTTGTGAGGAACCCATATCGGGTTCGAGCTGGGTTCCTCGAGAGGAACCCGACTCTGGGTTCCTCGTTGTGAGGAACCCAAATCAGGTTCCTCACAAGGAACCCAACTTTGGGTTCGACGAGGAACCCAGATCGAGTTCCTCACCAGGAACCTAGAGGGTTCGAGCTGGGTTCCTCCCGAGGAACCCATGAGGAACCCGACTCTGGGTTCCTCATCGTGAGGAACCCAGAGCTCCTGTTCTAAATTTTTTTTTTATTTAAATAAACCACATCATCAAAAAAAAGCATCTACATTGGATTACTAACGGCACATAATGGTCACGTCGATTTTTGAGTGCCACGTAATACATTTTGTAACCGTACCATGACGGCACGTTAAAATGTTAGATTTTTTACGGGTTTTGAAAAGTTAAAGGTGTGAATAGGGAAGAAAAATTCTGAAAGGTGTTGACCGTAAAAATAAAAAATAAAAAATAAAAATGGAGGGTGCAAATAAGGAGCTTTGGCCTTATAATATTAACAATGGTGGTTATATCCTTTCCCTGCAATTATTCTTGCCTTAATAACCAATTGCTTACGTACTCGCTGACCCAAAACAATTCTACTTTCATGAAGTTTCCCTATTTTTGGTAGGACGGGTTCATAAATAATTTACGGGTTTTTTTTTTTTATAACTACTCCCTCCGTTTCATTTTAATTTGTTTCAACTTTTTATTTTACCCCTGATAAATCTAAAAATTACTAAGTCAAAATTTTATAATTAGATATTAAAATAAAATATTTATCCTTAATGAAAATTTTATTATTTTTATACAAAAATAGACAAAAATAATTAATAAGAATAAAGTTAAAATAATATTTAATGTTTCATAGTAATAAATAGAAATAAAATAACTTACTGTGATCTAAACATCCACCCTTAATATATTAAACGTTAATTTTGATCCTTTAATTTTAAAGTTTTAATTTTTGTCTTTTAATTTTTTTATACATTTTTTTATCCCTCTATTATAAAAAATATATATCTTTAGTGCTCTTATTAGTTAATTCATTAAATCTATCTATATATGTATATTTTTAATCTATTAACTTATAATATATACATATTTTTTGTCTTTCGGCTTAAAAGTTTAGAAACAAACATGAGCATATATGAATGATTTAACAAATTAACTAACTAAAGAACTAAAAAAGTATATTTTTTTATAATTGAATGACAAAAAAATGTATAAAAATGTTGAGGGAAGAAAATTGTGTAAAACTCTAAAGTTGAGAGACAAAATTGACATTTAACCTATTTAACAAGAGACAAGATTCTTTTACATTATACAAAATCTTAATCATTCATTTTTCACTCTATAGCTAAGATTTATCTAGACTTTTTAGGTGAAAAGAAAATTAATTCTAAAAATAAAAAGAGAAAAGGAAAACCAAGACATCTTAATATTAAAAATATTAGGATATTTAATAACAACTATTAAACGTGTGGGACATAATGTAGGCCTTAATTTTATCAAATTTATCATGTGACTATTATTAGACATTTTGATATTTTTAATGTAAGGATATTATAATTTTTCCTTTTTCCAAATAAAAATAAAAAGAATAAATCTTAACAATTCATAGTGAAGCTATGAATGATCAAAATTTTGCGTAATAATTATATGTAAGACTTGTGTATAACTCAATTCTTACTATTTATTTCCTCTTATTTAATTTAATTATTTCACGTTATTCATTCACGATTATCAGGAAATTTATTTATTACAATAAATAAGATTTATCTTCTTATTTTCACTCTTATTTACAATCAAACAAGAAAAAAAATCCTAAACACATTTTTATCTCTTTTGAAATAATGATAAAATTGAAATATTAACATTTAATGTCTTATTAAAATAAAAAAAATGAGATAGTTAAATTCACACTACTCCTATTTAGAAAGTAAAATAATTAAATTAGAACAAGATAATTAAGATAACTAAATTAAAACTGAGAGAGTAAATAACTTTAGCTATTTTTTTTTATCAATTACTACTGTAATTAGTTCATTTACTACTCTTGCTTGTTTCTACACGACTAAACTCCTTCCTTAAAAAAAATAATAAAAAGGGAATTCCTTGATTTCAAATTTATTTCACTTAAGGAAATATAACATTTTCCTTCATAAATTAATAGAAACTAACCCGTTGGACTTCACTTTCTAGAGTACTACTTAAGGAGAATGTAATATGTTGATAGTTTTAAATTTTCAGAGGTGTTAATCCCGTGTGATTTTCTCTGTTAGTCTAGATATCTTTGGTTGATAAAGAAGAGAGCCTCTTATGAAGTTAGATCACGAGGATAATGTACGTTTTTGTTGCGTCTTTTCCAACTTCCCACCCATGCGTAGTTTAGAAAAAAGGTAATGAAGAAAGAAGAGAAACATGTAGGCAGGTTCGTGGACGCCGATCATCGACTCCAGGGGTTATCAAGTTGGACGAAAACTTGCTTGAGTTCATGAACTTTGACCGAGAGAAGATAAGACCTTCACATTAACCTAATTTCTTGGCTGTCCCCAGTCAATTCCAGAGGGGCAAGGGATGACAACATTGACTGAGCTCAAACCCATGTCAAGGCGCATCTTACTTGCTTTGAGTTGCCGCGTGACAGCTATCCGTCGGGTGTTAATTAGCCATTAAGTTCGCAGTTACAACATGGCCTAAGTATCAACATCAACATAAAAGAAAGTGATTTACTGTTCAAATTGTACTGAATTGCAAAATTGTCTTATAAGAAAACAGTTTCCAATATCAATATTGAAATTAGAACACTTTTCAAAAGACCCACCCCATTTAATGCGCTAAAATCGTGCAGTTTGATACAGTGATACAACACCTTTTTACATTCAAAATATGAATTGTGGCCCAATTTGGCAGGGCAGGTAAGAAAAACTTTCGAGGACGGGGCTCTTTCCCATCGATGTATAAACGGTGCTATATGTGATGCAAACTTAATGCTTTCCCATCACAAACTCCTAACTATAAACTAATTCTAATACACAATTAATATTCATCAGATGCACTTCACCCACCTGTTGTTGTCAATCTAGATTTTCAATCTGGTAGCTGTTATCAAGAGGACATCTCATTGAGGGTACACATTTACTTTTTAAGTAATAGAATTTTTTTAAGGGTCCATGCGTCTACATATAAGGTTTGATAATTTTACAGGCAAATTTTTTTTTTTTTTTGTCAATTAAAAATTTGGACTCACAGTTTGAACTCCATCTGAGTCCAGAAGAAGATTCTCAGGCTACAATTCAGATATGTATTTATATAGTCACAAGCCTAACATAATTCATCACAGTCAAGCAAGAAATGGACCTGCATGCCAAAATTGAACTTCAATAGCGGTCACCTTGGTTCTTCAGCACCGTCTTCAGATTTCCAGACAATATCTTTTAATCCGGATGAAAAGGTTTTGTAGAACTGTCACATGAAGAGTGAATTAGGATTCCAAATCAAATGCACATTCGTTTATATCAAGAAAACAGATTAAGGTAAAAAAGCTATCATAATTTCAGTTTCTTGATTTCTTCAAACATTGAAACGGATGGAATACGACTACTGTCCTTGATATATCAGAATCCTTTTTATGTATCCCAGATAAAGAGAAACCAAGGGATTGAACTTATATCCTCACAAATATAGTAAGTTCAAAATGATAACGATGATGGGTATACCTTGTGAAATTCCAACGTGTCACCACCAGTTTTTCGGAGTTCTACCATGTGCAAGGACGGAGCCACCTCAAACACCTAAACCAAGAAATAATAAGTTTTCCAGTTTTATCTTAATATGGGACAATAAATGCTCAAAATCTGAAACTAACTTTTGTCCTACTTGCCTTTATACAGAAATTAAGATAAGTTTTTCATTGGCTTTTAACTTTTAAAAATGAAATCATGTGAAAGGAAAGTTCTCTCCATTTCATTCATGATGCGATCTTTCAAAGGAAATTTAACAAGGTTCCATAAACTGAATAAATAATGTTGATAGGAATTAACTAACCATTATATACAGTCAGAAGAAAGAAGAAAATTTTAAAAGAAATATATATTAGATGGGGCTAGTGGTTGAGCTTGGACTTCTAAACCTCTCTAGAATTGGGCCTAGGCATTGCTGTTTAGCACACACTTATGGACCTAAGTTTGTTATTATAATCCAACACAATCTATCCCATAATGAAATTCAAGGATGTCAGCAGACACATAATAATGAAGCTATAGGTAACCATGTTTTATTCTTATAGATCTACAATTCTTCATGTTATTGAGAGAAACCAAGAAAAACCTCTTGGCTGAGGAGCAAACAATTTTGTACCTCAGTAGCTACAGAGAGCTGGCCCTTTCTCCCACTTTTATCACCTTTTAGCTTCATCTGCAAAGATTTGAATATAACGAAGGCATAAGATCCTCCTTAGAATTGACTAAACATACAAGTAAAAAGGTTTTAGTTGACTAAATCATACATCAAAAGCCAGAAAACTAAGGGATGCAATCAGATATTATACGGTAGATATGAAAGACAGAACCAGACCTTGTAGTTTTGCTTGTGAACATTAAACCCTAGAGGCTTGGCAGCTTCCTCAATTTTTGAAATAATTTCATTCGGAGGACATTGGGAAGCAAAACTTGTTTCTCGCTTCACAAGACCCTATATTTCATTCACAAACCAACACAGCAGAGACATACTCAGACAATAAGAAGGAATCCCAAATATAGAAGATGTAGATGCAGCCAGCCAATGTTGCACATATAATTATAATTTTATTTGATTATTACAGTGATATGTCTTTGGTTATCTAGAATCAGATGTAAGAAACCCTATAATACATACCACTGTCTGCTTTTCAAACAAATTGTCAAGACTGAAGGTCTGTGATCTAGAGATAAGCTCAAAAGCATTCATGGATACAGGTTTTTCTTTCCTTTCTGTTATAAGGTGTTCCTGAAAAATAAAAAGGCAATCAGTAACTTCAGGTGAAATTTATTTCCTACCATTCTCTCAAGTTCAATTTTCTGAAGCCATCTAAACAAAAACCTATCCTGGCACTTTAAAAAATGAATTTGAGGTGGTCTTGCAAGAGAAGCAAAACAGAAAAAGTAAAGGGTGTTACCACTGAATTTGAGTCATTAAAAGCAGCATTTATGTCATCAAGGTTTACATCATCTTCCTGCTCAAATTGCGGGGGTTTGTACCCTTTCTTGAACCATACATCTTGTAAAATTTCAGGAATAGTTATCCTCTACAACAAAGAATAACCATAGATTTCAAAGGTAATGCACATATTGCTGAATGATTGCCATAAACAAATCACTATGTTTGTGATCTGTGTAGTGCACACAACATTGTGTATAGCAAGAACAGACATAACAAGCAATGAAATTCAGGGCTCACGGTAAGAGGATTTGGATCAAGAATACGGCATATCAGTTTCTTCGCATTACGGGAAAACCATGGTGGACAAGAGAACTCAGCCTTCAAGATCTGAAGTTTACATCAACATGCATCAGCACTTTAATGAAATTCTGGACTGAAAGGAGAAATAAGTATCAGGATGTTTTCACCTTTCTATACAAGGCCATGAGATTTGCCTCATCAAAAGGCAAGTACCCAGCCATGAGTACATAGAGAATAACCCCACAAGACCAAATATCAGATGCTGTACCATCATAACCTTTGCTGGTGAGTATCTGATAAGAAGATGTTAGATATTAGAAAGAAAGTATATAACTGCACTAGTGCAGCTTTCTATCTTCAAGCCAAGAATGTTTAAATCAATACCTCGGGAGCAACATAGTTCGGGGTTCCACAGGCAGTGTGAAGCAACCCATCCTCCTACAATTAGCAAATGCTTAAAAGGTTTAGGTTAACTGTCTAAGATTCCCAAATAAAAAAAAAATGGGGCAAGTATTTGTAACTTTTCAACTCATCTATAAGTTCTCTATAGGCCAAAAATAATTCGTTAAATGATCCAACCAGAGTAAAACTAGGATGCTCACATGCAAAGCAAAAACGAACCCTGTTGCTCACCAAATGATATACAACACCTTGACTACCAGAGTTTTTCAAATTCCTCATGAAAAAGATTAATGGACAGAACTTCAAATAGAATCTTCCACAGCCAAGATGACTAGATGAACTAACCCTTCTTATCTTTTACTTTATTGATTCTTCATCGGAACGCTCTTCTTATCACAAGAATGCCACTTATTGGAACTTTTAACCAATTTTGACCTTAACCAAAAAAGCAACACATTTTCTAAAGTTAGAAAAGAGGTATGCCATTTGGAATGGGGTGCAACAGACATAGTTTGCTGGTTATCCTTTTAACAATAATAAATCCAACGTAATGACAGTCTTCTAAATTTTAAAATCTTGATCACCAATTTGTCATACAGAATCAATAATTTGATGTAATGTTTGTTTTCACTTCCATTGGCTTGCATTTTCCCATACTTCTAAACAGCCTTAAAATGTGCTGTATTACATCAATCTAACTTTGGAACTGGATGACAATTTCTTAAAAGCATCCTTGAATAAGAAAATCTTACCCGAATATTCTGTGAAAATGCACTCAATCCAAAATCAGAAACTTTAAGAACACCATCTGAGTCCAGAAGAAGATTCTCAGGCTACAAAATGTAGAAACTCCATATGAATTAGAAACCATCCTTATTATTATTATTATTATTAGTATTATTGGTAATAAGAAACTGTCCAAGATAAAATGTGACCTAGAACTGAAAACCAAATTTCAACCACAATTATCCAGACAGCCAAATAAATAACCCCCATTTATCAGTGAATAAAGGAAAATCCAAACCTTCAAATCTCTGTGGTAGACACCTCTACTATGGCAGTAATCGACAGCATTAATAAGCTGTTGGAAATAGGTCCTCGCTTCATCTTCCTTCAATCTCCCATGCTTGGCCTAGGGAATCAAAAGGCCATTAAAAAAAAAAAAAGAAAAAACATATCAATGAACATAGATATGAAGGCACACTCATAACTGCAGATTAGTACCACAAAATAGGCAACCAGAGCCAACAAAACATAAATTAAACAAATGAAGAGCAATCTTCTTACAATTTTGTCAAACAGCTCCCCTCCATCCACAAACTCAATAACAATATAGATCTTTGTTTTGCTTGCCATAACCTATGCATTAGCACGAAATCGACAATCAATTCATTATTACATAATAACATAATGCCGCACTAATTTCATGAAAAGAATTCAAGAACAAGAATAGTTGTCTGAAGATCAGAGAAAAGCTTATCATGTTCATGGTAAAATCGAAATTGAATGAACAGAGATTCCGCATACCTCGAAAATTTTAATAACATTAGGATGTTTGACGAGCTTCATCAACGATATTTCATTTTTTATCTATGAAGAAAAACACACCAAGATCAGAAACCATAACATTAGCTTTAATCTTCTTCAGCTACCAATTAAATTAGCTACTCTCAAGATTAACACTGAAAATATGAACTAATTAATCAAGATTTTTAATGATTCCAAAGCAAAATAATATTTACGCCATTTATATCTCGTACCTGTTCGACCATTTTGTGACGGCGGACATGGTCACGGTCAAGGATTTTGATGGCGACGCAGGCACCGGTCTCGACATTTCTGGCGAACTTGACCTTGGCGAAGCTACCTTCGCCCAAGGTCCTCCCCAACTCGTATTTCCCGACGCGTGTCCGGGTGGTCGGAGCCTTCTTACTCGCGCTCATTCTATCTCCGCCCCGTCCGATCAGAAGCCAATCGTCTTCTGTTGTTTCCGACTGCCTTGTGTTCCGAAAGCAATGATTCCGGTGCTGCTGCGAAATCGGCGAGAGAGAAGCGGAGGAGCCATCTCAAGGGGAGACGGAAACAAACAACGGGTGACACATATTTATCGATATCATGGTGATTGTTTGTTTGCTGTCGTGGGAAGGAAGAGGAAACGGTGGAGAGGTTGTGTGGGACCCAGAGGAGGATGTTGTGGGGTCAGCTGGTTATAAAATGTAAAAACCCGCCCACCAGGGTTCCCGTGGATGCGTTGCTTCTTCAGCCAATTATTGACAACGTCCAAAAACGGGTCGCTTTTTACACAAGGAATCCCGTGTCCATAGGATAAAATGAGTGGAGCACAGAGATTTTTTCAATCTGACGTGGCAAGCTTGACCCTGGTCAACGGTCATTTGACTTTGTTTAGTGGATCAAAATACCAAATTTTTGTGATCTTTAAATATTAAAAAAGTATTGTATGGTTTGAAAATTATTATTTTGAATTGCATCACTTTGAGTATTATATGTAAGGTGTCTCTCTAATATTAATGGCTTTTCCCTGTTTAATGATCACTATTATGATTGGATATAATTCAAAGAATAATAAAGGATTCTTATTATCGACTTATTTGGTATAACAATCTAAAGGTAACTGTTGATGATTTTATTTAAATTATTAGGAAGTTTTTAAATTACCTGTCACCCGTTATTTGTTAAATTTTAACTGTTATATTAAGCATACCTTATATATTATAAGTTTTACTATTGGGTTATTAATTTAAGTAAAAAGAATTTAATTTTTCTTAAATAAAATTTTTAGTCTAACTCTTGTAAATAGAAAAAGAAATACTAAAAAACCTTCTTTTCTTATGAGATTTTACGTAACTTGATTCTCAATTAATCAAATTTTAATGCAACTTTCGAATATTAAAAGTTAATAAAAAAATACAGATGTATATATAAATATATATTATAAGCCCAATCCATTAAAACCTCGAATCTAGTTTCCTCCTTTTGAAGGCCCGAGCTCAGAGGTCATTATCATACATGTCATCCTTGTGGGCCTCTTGCAAGTAAATATATTTGGGCTCCTTTAAGGGACTTCAATTTGGTAGGCTGCAGACTTGGAAGTTTCATTCATCAGCAATTGGACTCTCTCTCTCTCTCTCTCTCTCTCTCTCTCTCTCTCTCTCTCTCTCTCT